CTTGCGGACAGCAAGAAGGCCGCGCTGGACGAGCTCGCGGATGAAGAAGTATTGGAGTTCGATGTGCTTGGAGCGGGCGTGGTAGATAGGGTCCTGAGTGAGGTGGATGGTGCTGGCGTTGTCACACCAGAGGGTGGGGCAGGGCTGAGGGGCGCCAAGCTCAGCAAGAAGAAAGCAGAGCCAGCGGGACTCCTGGGCGGCCATGGTGCCAGCGTAGAGCTCAGCCTCGCAGGAGGAGAGAGAAACGGAGGAGGAGCGTGTGGAGCGCCAGCTAACCAGGCCGCTGCCGAGGGTGAAGCCGTAGCCTTGAGAGGAGCGGCGGTCAGGCTGCGAGTCGGCCCAGGAGGAGTCGCTAAAGCCCGAAAGGAGGGGAGGGGAGGAGCCACCAAGAGTGAGAGCGTGGTCCTTGGTGCCGCGAAGGTAGCGGAGGACCCGCTTAGCAGCTTTCCAGTGCACCTCGGAGTGGCGACCAGGGCCAACAAAGCGAGCGAGCACGCTGATGGGGTAGGCGAGGTCGGGACGGGTGCACATCATAGCGTACATCAGCGACCCAACGAGCTCAGCATAAGGGTGAGAGGAGGAGGAGGGCGAGGTTGGTGGAGCAAGCTGGTGGCCGAAAGGGAGGGGGGTGGCTATGGGACTGGCCTGAGTCATCTCGTATTTCTCCAAGATGAGGCCGATGTAATGAGACTGGGAGAGGGTGATGGTGCGAGCGGGACGGTCGCGAGTGATAGCCATGCCAAGGTAGTGGGTGAGGTCGCCCAGGTCCTTGCACTTGAGGCGCTGCTGCAGCTGCTGCTTCATCTGCTCCATGTCAGTCTTGGAGTCAGAGAGCAGAATCATGTCATCCACATACACCAGAATGAAGAAGCGGCGAGGGGAGGAGTGAAGGAAGAGACTGGCGTCAGAATGAGAGGCAGAGAAGCCAAGGGATCCCAAGGTGGTAGACAGCTTCGCGTGCCACTCCCGAGGTGCTTGCTTCAGACCGTAGACAGGTCGACGCAGCTGCCACACAGTGTTATCCGGAAAGGCGGCGTGGAACCCGGGGGGTCGCCGGAGGAAGATGCGCTCGTGCAGGTCCCCTTGCAGGAACGCATTGGAGACGTCCATGGAACAGATCTCCATGTCGTCGCGTGCACCAATGTCAAGGAGGGTGCGGAGGGTGGGTGGCTTGGCGGTGGGGGCATAGGTGAACCAGTAATCTTCAGCCCAAGTCTGGGTGAACCCCTTAGCGCAATAGCGGGCTTTGTAGACCGGATCCTCGCCGGGCAGCTGCTTCACCCGAAAGACCCACTTGCCCTCGACAAGGTTGGCATCGTCCGGGAGGGGGACATCAACGAAGGAGTCGTTGCGAATGAAGGCCTCACACTCCAGGAAGATAGCCGCAATCCACCTGTCCGCATCAGGGCAGGCGATGGCCTCTTTAAAGGTGGAGGGAGTGAAGATGGTAGGGGTGGAGGTGGCGCCAAGGACGGGAAGACCAAGGAAGTCATGAAAGATGGAGGCAAGGAATGGAGTGTGGTGCCGAATGTCGAGGAACTCCTTGTGGGAGTCCTCAAGGAGCTGAATGGAGGCGGGAGGAGGGGCTGACCTTGTCAAGGGAGCGAGTGTGCATGCGAGGGAGGAGAAAAGGGGAGGAGCGGGAAGTTGCTCGGTAGCGCTGCTGCTGCTGCTGCTGCTGCTGCTGACGCGGTGGAGTCGGCTGCTGCTGCTGCTGCTGCTGCTGACCCGGCTGCCACTGCTGCTGCTGCTGCGGACCCGGTTGCTGCTGCTGCTGCCCCGGCGGCTGCTGCTGCAGCTGTCCCGGCGGCTGCTGCTGCAGCTGTCCCGGCTGCCGCTGCTGCTGCTGCTGCTGCTGCTGTTGCTGCTGCTGGCCCGGTCGTTGGAGAGGAGGGGGGGAGTGAGAGGAGGAGGGAGAGGGGGGAGGGGGCGCAGCGGAGTGGGCCGGGGAGGCGGGTGCGGCGGGGTCATAGACGTCAGCAGAGGAGGACGGAGGGAGTGGAGCGGCAACGGGGGGGAGGAGAGGAGAGGGAGGGAGGAGAGGTGGGAGGACAGTGTCAGTCCAGGCGAGGGGGCGAGTGGGAGGAGGGAGAGGGTCAGGAGGAGGAGTGGAGTAGTAGGGGATGGACTCGTCGAAGACGACGTCAATGCTGCGGATGAGGCGGTTGGTGGGAGGGTGGAGGAACAGGTAGCCCGGGGAGTCGCGATTGTGCCCGAGGTAGACGCACTCAAGGGCACGGGGGGCGAGCTTGCCGGCGGCACGGGAGCGATCTGCCGGTGGGATGAGGACGAAGGACTTGCAGCCCCAAACGCGAAGGCCGGCAGCGTCAGGCTTGGCCTTAGACCAGAGTTCTGTGGGGGAAGAGGAGGGGTGCTGAGGGTGGGAGCGGAGATTGAGGAGGAGGGCGGCATGGAGAAGGGCATAGCTCCAGAGGGAGGGAGGGGTGGAGGCGTGGGCAATGAGGCAGCGGGCAATTTTGGTGATTTCGCGGATGCGACTCTCAGCAATGCCATTTTGCTGAGGGGAGTGGGGGAGGGTGGAAGTTTGCTGGATGCCATGAATTTTGCAGAAGGTAGCAAGGGTGTTGTTGATGAACTCACCCCCACCGTCAGAGTGAAGGCGGCCAATGGGGCGTTTGAAGTGATTGCGGCACTGCTCAGCCCAGGTGATGACAACAGCCGGGACCTGATCTTTGGTGTGGAGGAAAAAGACAGTGGAGTACCGACTGTGGTCGTCAACGAGGACGAGCATGTACCGGTGCCCCTGACGGGAGCGGAAGGGATAGGGACCCCAGAGATCCATGTGGACAAGGTCAATGGGGGCAGCAGCAAAGGTGGGATGGCTGTGATGGGGGGATTGCTTAAGCTTGCCATGAATGCATGAGGGGCATGGGGGGGCAGGAGAGGAGGGGAGGGGAGGTAAGGTGGGAGGGAGGCTGTGAAGGAGACGAGAGGTGACAGTGGTGCGAAGTGCGGCGAAGTTGGGATGGCCGAGTCTGTGATGCAGAATGACTGCTGGGTGGGAGAGGGTAGTGGAGGAGGAGGGGGAGGGGGTGGAGGAAGAAGGGAGGGAGGAGGGAAGTGAAGAAGGGGAGGGGGATACCGGAGGGGGAGGGAGAGGGGGAGGAGGACCGGTGGAAGTACCAGCACGAGTGGTAACATGACAGAAGGAGGGACGGGGTGTGCGGAGCGTGTAAAGGCGAGTGCGGGGGCAAAGGGGAATGCGCAGGAGAAAGCGACCACAGGAGGTTTGGTAAAGATCACAGTGATTGGCAAAGCCGGGGTAAATGGCAGTAATACCGACACCTTGGAGTTCTCGGTGAGAGAGGAGGTTGTTGCGAAGGGTAGGGATGTGGAGACCTGTGACCTTACCGGAGGGGAAAGCGGTGCAGGGGAGGGTGGAGAGGTGAGTGCATGGGATGGAGAAGTTGGAGTCAGCACCATGAACCTGGGTAGGAAGTGGGAGGGGGGTGAGGGTGCTGTTGGTGCAACCCTACGGTTTGCATTCGGCTTGTTGTCCGTGTGCGTGCATGCGTGTGTGCATGGAATGGTATGAGGGCATGAAATAATATATATTTTATGCTTACAATAGTGTGTGAATGATGAGGCATGATTTTGAATGTGTGTGTCGAGTCAATAGCGAGTTATCGCTAGTCGCGTGTCACGTCGTCGTTTGCGTGTCGTGTGCGGTTTTCTATTTTATCGTGTGTGGAACGTTCGGCGTGTCGCAGGTGTGCGCAGCAGACTTCCAAGAACTCAAGGAAGAATTTACCTTGAAGAACCAGAGCCTTGGTTTCAAGAATCAAGTGATTTCGAAGCTCTCCAAAAGGGTAAACTTTAAGATAGTGAGAATAGTTGCATTACTTTGTGTAGTGTAACATTTCTCTTGGTGTAGGCCCTTGTGGAGGGTAGTTTCGAGACCCTTCGTGGTTGGGGACAGTGTGGCACTGTTCCACATCACTGTACCTCGGCTCTTGGGGTTTGTAGGAGCTGGGAGTCATTCCCAACTCGTAACTCTTCCTATCTTGTGTTCTAAGACTATAGTGGCTGCCATAGTACCGTTTGTTCAAACCGACGCTGTGTCGTCAATTCTTTATGAAATTGTGCAATCTAAATTGCTTATTGTAGACAACGTAAAGACGCCCCAGATCCAATTTGAATCAAGTCATTTGCAGCTGTGAGCAGAACGCTATCAACGTTTGAAGCCGCTGTGCAGAAATCCGTCTGTGCTCTCTATCTTTCGTTTTAGGCACATTCAAGCCTATTGTGACTATAACAGGTGCCAGCGTCTTTGAGTGCGGTTTCTGTGGCCCCACTGTCAAGGACAAAGTCCAAGGTGGGGGAGGAAGGGGGGGGGGGTGAGACGGGGTACTGGAAAGACGTTTCATTGATAGCAGAGGGATACATGGAAGCGACGGAAGGTGCAGCAGCAATATGACCAAGGAAACTGCCCTGAGAGTCAGGGACACTCGGGGGGCCAGAGGGAATGGAACCCCAGGCAGGGGGGGCAAGGGAGGCATGAGCAGCCATGGCCGCTGCGCCAAAGGTCATCGGCTGCTGCTGCCACTGCGGAGGAAGGTACTGCTGCGGCTGCTGCTGCTGGAAGAACTGCGGCTGCGGGGGCTGCTGCGGCAGAAAGAGCGGCAGCTGCTGCTGCTGAAGAAACTGTGGCTGCTGCTGCTGCGAGAAGTACTGCTGCTGCTGCTGCTGGTGCTGCTGAAACTGCTAGAGCTGGGAGGGGAGGGAAGGGGTGAGTAGACGGAGGTGAGCGGGGAGGAAGGAAGGGAGGGTTTGGATGTCCACGAGGGACGGGCGAGGGGTAACACTGTTCCAGCGAGGAGGGGTACCAGTGTTGCCGCGGTCAAACCAGGCGTCATCAAGCGCCTTGAAGCAGGTGGCAGGGGGGTGGTTGGTCTGACCACACGGCGTGCCGGCGTGGGGACCGTGGCGGCGAACATACGTGCAGGGGGGAAGAGTCCCAGGGCGACCACCACCACGGCTCACAGCTCCACCAGCACTAGAGGAGCCTCCGGGAGCGGGGCCACTAGGACCACCACCACCACCACCACTACCACCACGGCCACCACGGCCACTACCCCTACTGCCACCCCCACTCCCTCCACGACCCCCGCTACCGCCGGTGCGACCACCCTGAGTGCGCGGCTGTGTGGCATCGAGGGAGGCGGAGGAGGAGTGAGTGGTGGTGAGGTTGACAATGGGGGTGCGGAGCTTGACCTCCGTGTCAATGATCCACTGTGTCACCTCGGGGAGGCCAGCCAAGGGGTTCGCCTCAGTGAAGGCGTGAAGGCGGGACTCATAGTCTGGCGTGAGGTTGAAGAGCAGACGGTGGATCTGCAGGGGCTCGGAAAGGGCAGCCTGGCGAGCGGCAAGGCGATCGGCAACCTCCTGCATGCGCCCGACATAGTCGACTGCGCCGTCACAGGTGGCGAGGGTGATGGAGAAATACTCCTGGAATAGAACGCCAACAGAGCTGATGTCGCGACGCTCGAACATAGACTGGAGCTCGGTCCAAATGAGGTGAGCGCGCATCTCGCGAGCTTGGAAGCGGCGCATGAGGGCGTCGGGGAGAGCACCAAGAAGGATGGTGCAAGCGCGGTTGTCGGCAGCGGCCCAGGCGATGCTGTTGGGGACATAAGCCGCCATGGAGGTGGTGTACTCGGCAATCAGCTCCAGGCGAGTGGAACGCTCTGACGAGGCAAACTCATAGTTGAGGAGAGCAACGTCATGGTCGGCCTTGCGGATGAGGTATTCGCGGCGGTTGTGGAGGAAGGTGGCGTCCGCAGCAGCCTGAAGCTCGGGGGCAGTAGCCACGGTCAGGTTAGGCTCAGGAGGAGGGGGGCCAGGGCGGGGGGGGGAGGGGAGGAGGTTCGCCAGGGTGATTGGGTGCGGTCGGTTGGAGAGCCTGCGGACGGCGAAGGAGGACGTCAAGGATGCAGTAGGGTCCGACGAAGGCGTCTTGAAGGACGCGGCGAATGCTGCCGACGAACGAGTGCCAGTTGATGGCGGAACGATCTGCAGCAAGCTGCAGCTTGTCAACCGAAGAGGCGTCGATAGGAGGGGGGAGAGGAACAGGAGGGGTGGTAGCCATGATGGGCGGCGGAGGGTGGACCCTCGGCGGCCAAGGGGGAGACGACGGCGGGTGAACCCGCGGCGGTCAAGGGGGAGGCGACGGCGGGTGGACCCGCGGCGGCCAGGGGGAGGGGGAGGTGCTGCTGCTGGACCCCTCCGGCTGTTGCTGCTGCTGCTGTTGCTGCTGCTGCCGCTGCTGCTGCAACTGCTGCTGCTGCCGCCGCCGCCGCTGCTGCTGCCGCAGGTGGGGATGCCTCGGCTGCTGCTGCTGCTGGCAGGAGAGGGGAGAGGGAGAGGCGGAGGGAGAGGGGGAGAGGGGGAGGGGGAGGAGGGTGCGGTCAAGGGCGCGGCGGGCACGGCTGCCACTGGTGGTGCTGCTGCCGGTGCTGTCGTTGCAGTTGGGGATGCCGCTGCTGCCGCAGCCGCCGCTGCTGCTGCTGCTGCCGCTGCTGCTGCTGCTGCCGCTGCTGCCGCTGCTGCTGCTGCTGCTGCCGCTGCTGCTGCTGCTGCTGCTGCCGCTGCTGCTGCTGCTGCTGCTGCTGCCGCTGCTGCCGCTGCTGCCGCGGCTGTAGCTGCTGCCGCTGAGTCAAGGAGAGGGGAGAGGGAGTGGCGGAGGAAGAGGGGGAGAGGGGGAGGGGAAGGAGGGTGCAGTCACGGGCGCGGCCTACACGACTGCCGCTGCTGCTGCTGCTGTTGCTGCTGCCGCTGCTGCCGCTGCTGCTGCCGCGGTTGTAGCTGCTGCCGCTGCTGCGAGGAGAGGGGAGAGGGAGAGGCGGAGAGAGAGGGGGGGGAGGGGGAGGGGAAGGAGGGTGCAGTCACGTGCGCGGTTGGCGCAGCTGCCACTGGTGGTGCTGCTGGGGATGCCGGTGGTGCCGCTGCTGCCGCCGCCGCTGTTGCCGCTGCTGCCGCTGCTGTTGCTGCTGCCGCTACCGCTGCCGCTGCTGCCGCGGCTGTAGCTGCTGCGGCGGTGTCGAGGAGAGGGGGGGGGGAGGGAGTAACGGAGGAAGAGGAGGGGAGGGGGAGGGGAAGGAGGGAGCAGTCACGGGCGCGGTTGGCACGGCTGCTGCCGATGTCACTGCTGCCGGTGCTGTTGCTGCTACGGGGGAAGCCGCTGCTGCTGCTGCTGTCGCGGCCGCTGCTGTTGTCGCTGCTGCTGCTGTCGCTGCTGCCGCTGCTGCCGCTGCCGCTGCCGCTGCCACTGTCGCTGCTGCTGCTGCTGCCACTGCTGCTGCTGCTGCCGCTGACGATGCTGCTGCTGTCGCCGCTGCTGTAGCTGCAAGGAGAGGGGGAGGGGGTGGGAAGGGCAGGCGGCGACGAGGTGGTCACGGCGGCGGAAACCGCGGGCGATGGCAGTGCGATCACGGTGGGAGGAGTGCGCAGGCGGCGACAGCGTGGTCGCGGCGGCTGGAAGGGCAGGCGGCGACGGAACTCCGCGGGAAATACGCGGGGAATACACGGCGACGGGGAACGCCGTAGGAGAGTCGCACGGATTCGCGACGAAACAGGTCGCGGGGGGGCGGGAGGGCAGGCGGCGACGAGAATCCGCGGGGATTCCGCGGGAAAGTCGCGGCGGCGGGGGTTTCCGCGGGTAATCCGCGACGAAGGGGTTGGGGGGGCAGGGAGGGCAGGCGGCGACGAGAATCCGCGGGGATTCCGCGGGAAGGTCGCGGCGGCGTGGGAATCCGCGGGTAATCCGCGACGAAAAGGTCGCGGGGGCGGGGAGGGCAGGCGGCGACAGAAATCCGCGGGGATTCCGCGGGAATTTCGTGGCGGCGGGGGGGTCCGCGGGGAATCCGCGACGAAAAAGGTCGCAACGGCGGGGAGGGCAGGCGGCGACGGGAATGCGAGAGGAATCCGCGGGAAATCCGCGGTGGCGAGGGAATCCGCGAGGAATGCGCGGGAAATCCGCGGCGGCGGGGAAATTCGCGGGAAATCCGCGGGCGGAGAGAACGCGGCGGCGAAATCGGCGGGACTTGGCGGCGAAATCCGCAGGACGCGGCGACGGGGAGGTCGCGGCGAGAAGGAGCCAAGATGAGGAGGGGGAGAGGGGGAGAAGACGACGGCGACGGAACGGTCGCGGCGCGAGGGAAGTGTGTGTGTGTGTGGTGGGCCCTTGGGAAAGAAAAAATGGGATGGGGAAGGGAAGGTTAGGAGAATCTAGCTCTATACCATGTGAAGAAAGGAAACTCAAGCATTAACTTCATTAGAGAGTTTGCAAGCATACATAGCTTTGGGAAGAGAAGGTTGGAAGGGAAAGGAGGGAGGTGGGAATGGGGGAGTGGGCCAACCTATGGCCCATTGGGTTGGGTTGGCCATACTTGGGGGAGTGGGCCAACCTATGGCCCATTGGGTTGGGTTGGCCTCACTTTGTGAGAGTGGGCCAACCTATGGCCCATTGGGTTGGGTTGGCCCTTACTTTGTGAGAGTGGGCCAACCTATGGCCCAATGGGTTGCATTTGGGGGCTCCACCACAATTGGGTTGGATTGGCACCCCAAAGTGCAAGACTACACCCAAAGTTGGGTGTAGTCCCATCCCAACTGTACACCACAATTGGTGTACAGTCACAAGTGTTAGCATGCTAGAATATGGCAATTCTAACAAGTCGACACTTTTTTGGGTGATGTGATGCGACGAGACACCACGGAGTGGAGACGTGAGGTGAGTCAACACTTTTTTGGGTGATGTGATGTGAGTAGACACCATGGAGTGGAGATGTGAGGTGAGTCGACACTTATTTTGGGTGATGTGATGTGAGTAGACACCATGGAGTGGAGATGTGAGGTGAGTCGACACTTTTTTGGGCAATGTAATCTGAGTAGACACCATGGAGTGGAGATGTGAGGTGAGTCGACACTTTTTTGGGCAATGTGATCTGAGTAGACACCATGGAGTGGAGATGTGAGGTGAGTCGACACTTTTTTTGGGTGATGTGATGTGAGTAGAAACCATGGAGTGGAGATGTGAGTTGAGTCGACACTTTTTTGGGTGATGTGATGTGAGTAGACTCCATGGAGTGGAGATGTGAGGTGAGTCGACACGTTTTTGGGTGATGTGATGTGAGTAGACACCATGGAGTGTAGATGTGAGGTTAGTCGACACTTTTTTGGTTGATGTGATGTGAGTAGACTCCATGGTGTGGAGATGTGAGGTGAGTCGACACTTTTTTGGGTGATGTGATGCGACTAGACACCATGGAGTGGAGATGTGAAGTGAGTCGACACTTTTTTGGGTGATGTGATGCGAGTAGACACCATGGAGTGGAGATGTGAGGTGAGTCGACACTTTTTTGGGTGATTTGATCTGAGTAGACACCATGGAGTGGAGATGTGAGGTGAGTCGACACTTTTTTTGAGTGATGTGATGTGAGTAGACACCATGGAGTGGAGATGTGAGGTGAGTCGAAACTTTTTTGGGTGATGTGATGCGACGAGACACCATGGAGTGGAGATGTGAGGTGAGTCGACACTTTTTTGGGTGATGTGATGTGAGTAGACACAATGGAGTGGAGATGTGAGGTGAGTTGACACTTGTTTGGGTGATGTGATGAGAGTAGACACCATGGAGTGGAGATGTGAGGTGAGTCGACACTTTTTTTGGGTGATGTGATGTGAGTAGACACCATGGAGTGGAGATGTGAGGTGAGTCGACACTTTTTTGGGCAATGTGATCTGAGTAGACACCATGGAGTGGAGATGTGAGGTGAGTCGACATTTTTCTGGGCAATGTGATCTGAGTAGACACCATGGAGTGGAGATGTGAGGTGAGTCGACACTTTTTTGGGTGATGTGATGTGAGTAGACACCATGGAGTGGAGATGTGAGGTGAGTCGACACCTTTTTTGAGTGATGTGATGTGAGTAGACACCATGGAGTGGAGATGTGAGGTGAGTCGTGTGAAGAAAGGAAACTCAAGCATTAACTTCATTAGAGAGTTTGCAAGCATACATAGCTTTGGGAAGAGAAGGTTGGAAGGGAAAGGAGGGAGGTGGGAATGGGGGAGTGGGCCAACCTATGGCCCATTGGGTTGGGTTGGCCATTCTTGGGGGAGTGGGCCAACCTATGGCCCATTGGGTTGGGTTGGCCTCACTTTGTGAGAGTGGGCCAACCTATGGCCCATTGGGTTGGGTTGGCCCTTACTTTGTGAGAGTGGGCCAACCTATGGCCCAATGGGTTGCATTTGGGGGCTCCACCACAATTGGGTTGGATTGGCACCCCAAAGTGCAAGACTACACCCAAAGTTGGGTGTAGTCCCATCCCAACTGTACACCACAATTGGTGTACAGTCACAAGTGTTAGCATGCTAGAATATGGCAATTCTAACAAGTCGACACTTTTTTGGGTGATGTGATGCGACGAGACACCATGGAGTGGAGATGTGAGGTGAGTCGACACTTATTTTGGGTGATGTGATGTGAGTAGACACCATGGAGTGGAGATGTGAGGTGAGTCGACACTTTTTTGGGCAATGTAATCTGAGTAGACACCATGGAGTGGAGATGTGAGGTGAGTCGATACTTTTTTGGGCAATGTGATCTGAGTAGACACCATGGAGTGGAGATGTGAGGTGAGTCGACACTTTTTTTGGGTGATGTGATGTGAGTAGAAACCATGGAGTGGAGATGTGAGGTGAGTCGACACTTTTTTGGGTGATGTGATGTGAGTAGACTCCATGGAGTGGAGATGTGAGGTGAGTCGACACGTTTTTGGGTGATGTGATGTGAGTAGACACCATGGAGTGGAGATGTGAGGTGACTCGACACTTTTTTGGGTGATGTGATGCAAGTAGACACCATGGAGTGTAGATGTGAGGTTAGTCGACACTTTTTTGGTTGATGTGATGTGAGTAGACTCCATGGTGTGGAGATGTGAGGTGAGTCAACACTTTTTTGGGTGATGTGATGCGACTAGACACCATGGAGTGGAGATGTGAAGTGAGTCGACACTTTTTTGGGTGATGTGATGCGAGTAGACACCATGGAGTGGAGATGTGAGGTGAGTCGACACATTTTTTGAGTGATGTGATGTGAGTAGACACCATGGAGTGGAGATGTGAGGTGAGTCGACACTTTTTTGGGTGATGTGATGCGACGAGACACCATGGAGTGGAGATGTGAGGTGAGTCGACACTTTTTTGGGTGATGTGATGTGAGTAGACACCATGGAGTGGAGATGTGAGGTGAGTCGACACTTTTTTTGGGTGATGTGATGTGAGTAGACGCCATGGAGTGGAGATGTGAGGTGAGTCGACACTTTTTTGGGTGATGTGATGCGACGAGACACCATGGAGTGGAGATGTGAGGTGAGTCGACACTTTTTGGGTGATGTGATGTGAGTAGACACCATGGAGTGGAGATGTGAGGTGAGTCGACACTTTTTTGGGCAATGTGATCTGAGTAGACACCATGGAGTGGAGATGTGAGGTGAGTCGACACTTTTTTGGGCAATGTGATCTGAGTAGACACCATGGAGTGGAGATGTGAGGTGAGTCGACACTTTTTTTGGGTGATGTGATGTGAGTAGACACCATGGAGTGGAGATGTGAGGTGAGTCGACACTTTTTTGGTTGATGTGATGTGAGTAG